GGATAATGCCTGGTGCACTGCGGGCCAAAGGTTGATGTTAGGAGGTTATAAAGGATTAGCTGTTACTCCGTAGTTCGGTAAATCTTCGTTCGATGGCAATGAAGTATGTTTTTGTTTGATTGAATGTGGAAGTGGTCACACCATCTTTCTAAACCCCTATTTCAACACTCTTTACCTCTTTTTTCTAAACCCTATTAATTAATTAATTATTACTATATTTGTTTATTCTAAAAATTACAATTACAACTGGCTCTTGGACGAGTGATGGCATGCGGAGAAAACTGGGGAATGCGCCTTTTATAATGATGGAAGTAATATAACCATAATTTGTTTGTTAAGACCAATACCACTCTACTACCATAATTACCACTCTCCGGTATTGTTGGCAACACACAGACCAAGAAACGCTATTTTTACGAGTGAAGCCTTGAGTGGTATGTGGATATAATTTTTAAAATTTTTGGTATTTACTAACATAGGAGACGGAAAACGGTTGACATTGGCAAAATCTCAGCTTAGATTCTGCAAACAGAGCTGTAGTGCATAAAAATAAATAAAAAACAATAAGCAAGTGTTAAAATAGATTTTTACAATTTCAGTTTTTGATTATAAAGAATAACAAAGATTTTAAGAAATTTTTTTTTTAATAATCTCTTATATAAACAGCTTAAATACAGCGTACAAATAAATATCAGGTACGTTCTCATTCGGGCACGTCATTATCGTGGCGCTAAGACCCGTTATGGAGGATTAGCTCGAGAGGCATCACGGGAGCCTCTCATACTGGCTGACGCAGGTGATCACTGGGAAAGGATGCTTCGGGGATCACCTGTCTGATCCACAAGGAGCCAACGCCTGAGTGCCACCACTGCAACGCAAATACACATAAATATGTATGCACATAGACACGTTGAAAGATAACTAGTTTGCATTGGAAACTCAAACTGGTTATGATAGTCTTTTAGAGAGTTTGGTATTAGCTATTTATCTTAATTAATCAAATAGTTAGTTCATTAATCATCGACAGCCTTTAACAGCCCACTGCTGGACATAGGCCTCTCCTTAGAAAGGAGGTTTTTGTCTACTATACCACGCTGGCTAGACGGGTTGGTATAGGGTTTGTGTCAAGTCTTTCGGGCGGGGCGTTCGACAGTCGACGCTGTGTTGCGACTGAGGGCCGTGACCGAAGAGGCCGTGAGCTGTGGCGGCGTGCTGTTGGCGGTGTCACTGGACATCGCCAACGCATTCAATAGTCTGCCATTCAGCTGCATCAGGGAAGCACTCCACTATCATGGGGGGCCAAAGTACCTGAGGCGGCTAGTGGCAGACTATTTAGAGGAGCGTACCGTCGTGTACGAGGACCGAGAGGGTAATTTGAGGTGTCGGCCCATGTCGTGCGGTGTTCCACAGGGGTCTGTTCTTGGACCCCTCTTGTGGAACACAGGGTACGACTGGGCCCTTCGAGCCGATTTCCCCCCCGGGCTGGGTGTAATTTGTTACGCAGATGACACTCTGGTGACAGCCCGGGGGGCGAACTTCCAAGAGGCGGCGTGCCTGGCCACAAGGGGAGTCTCCCTGGTGGTCGGGCGCATTGAGGCGCTGGGCTTACGGGTGGCCCTAGATAAGACGGAGGCCCTGTTATTTCATGGGCCCCGTCGTGGTCCACCCCCTGGCGCCTCAATCGTGGTCAACTCGGTCCTCGTACCGGTTCGGGCCCAGATGAAATATCTGGGCCTGATCCTCGACGGGAGGTGGCTCTTCGACGAGCACTTCCGACAGCTTGCTCCTAAGCTGGTCGGCGCTGCGTCTGCCCTAGGGCGACTTTTGCCCAATTTGGGTGGACCCAGCGTCGCGACAAGACGGCTGTACACGGGGGTTGTCCGGTCAATGGCACTATACGGTGCACCGTTGTGGGCGGCGGCTCTGACCGCCCAGAATAGGGCACGCCTCTGGCGCCCTCAGAGGGTAATGGCGGTCAGAGCCATACGCGGTTACCGCACCGTTTCGACGGAGGTGGCGTGCGCGTTGGCCGGAACTCCCCCGTGGGATTTGGAGGCGGCAGTGCTCGCCGAAGTTTATCGGCGAGTGGCTGACTCCCGGGCGGAGAGCGGATTTCGCCCTCCGCCCGAGGGGAGGGGGCGGCGTCCGCGTGTGCCGGACGTCGCCTAAAGAGAGGAAAATTTTGAGACGGGGCCCGCAACAGGAGCGGGCCGGCGCTAGGAGGGGTCCGGATGTCTTAATAACAGCTGTTCCCGGATCCCTCCTATTACAGGCGCAGAGTGGCACACCGTGTGGTTTTAGTCGGTCCGAGTCCGACACACCACCCCGCCGCAAACCCCGGTGGGGTGAAGGTCCGAGGAGATTTCCACACGTTAAAAAAAAGAAGAAGAAAAAAAAGGGTTTGTGTCAAGTTTCCCTTCTCTTTGCAGTGCTGTTGTCCTACGTTGTTTGCTTCCTTAGTTGGCTCTTACACCACCCACGGGATGAATAGGGGTGATGATACTTATTATTCTTGATCCGTCACCACACAATAGTTAAATACGCTCGTCATTTGACGGATTTTTGTGACACAAGCGAGAGCACAACTAACATCAGTAATAACTCACCAGTGTACCCACCCATAAACTTCATAATAGTCACTGTAAAGAAAACAAGGGTTAAGTAATTGAATAACATGAAAATAATTTAGTCATACGGAACAGTATCGCGATGGTTTTTAATTTAATTATTGTCATCATCTTAAAAAGCATGTGCACCATTAAAATAGCATAGTTAAAAAGATTCATTGTTTTTATTTACTCGTAAGCATTATGATAATTTAGGTTTTATTCGTCTACGGGTTCACAAAATAGGACTGTCTACCGGGTATATTTTAGCGTTATAAATTTAAAAGTTAAACGATATTGAATATAAAAATAGCCATTTAAATATGCACACATCAGATAAGGCTCACTGACTAAGAGCGTGACTCAAAGTTAGGGTATTCATATTACGTTATGTTAAAACAATTATTTTTAATTAGAAAATATTTCTTGGCATAGCTTTAAATGCTAAAACTATTATTCTCTACTTATGTTGGTTGAAAATTTATTGTCACCCATCTCTACTTTCACGTCAGCCTTAGTCATAAAAAGCTTTCAGCCTCAAATATCAAAGCTAACTTAATACACTACCTACACTTACGTGACGCGTTAGTTATTAAAAAAGTATATTTGTACATTATCAGACTAATCATAAAAAATATACAGGACAAAGTCTGAAATAAGTAAAAATTCTTAACTGCCATTCAGGATATAAATATTGGTGCCTCAAAGCTGTGAGCGATATGTTAATCTAAATTAGCGATTAAATTTATTGGGTGCAGGTAAAAAGACGAACCTGGTGACCCGCCGTAGTCTAATAATACTCGTTGACATTTAACAGATGAAACTTGTTATATAAAGCCGACTCTAGTTCCATGTATAGTAGGTATATTCGTAGGTCGTGTGATGTCATGTCTTCAGATTCTTTGCCGAAAATCAAGGTTAACCAGGATATTGGTTTAATTTATAGTTACATAATTAGGCGTCTACTAACAATAAAAGTACTAGGAAAAATAGGAATCCTTTTAAAATAAAGGAAAACAAATCCTAGTTACAATTACCCACTATTATTTATCTAACGTGTGTTGGAAGTACTTCAGATATTGAGATAGTTTAAAAAAATATTTGCCCGTATTCGTATCAAATTCGTTCTATAGTAGTGTGGTAGATGATCGTCAAGTCAAATCAGTATCCTTTTAAACATCAAAACAATATACGCTATACATTTTTGTATGAAACTACGGCGTGACGTCATGCTTGTTGTCAAATCATTAAATTTTAATGTTGATTTCAGATACGAAAAATAACATTCTGTACTTTTGGACGTTAAAACTAATGATTGAGCCAAAATAATTTATTTTGACCGTCGGAATCTATTTTATTGTGAATTTGATAGTTAATATGAATTTTACCCCATTATTGCACAGCTAGTAGTGCAGTGTGCATTATTAAAGTCTGTCACTTCATATTGGTACGATTACGAGTACTGCTGCACTGGTATATTAAAAAGAATCACAAAAAAAAACTATCACGACTAGAACATGTTAATAAATTCTATCAAAAAGAAAATGGAAACAGAAACATTAACTCGAAGAAGTTTAAAATAAATACCTAAGTAGAAAACCAACTGGTTAATTACAATTCGATTTATTTTTATGTTTTAAATATTTCTTGACACGTGTTTTATTACAGTTCTTAGGTGTTAGTGTAACAAATTGATAGTCACACAATTATATAACTGTGTCCCCAGGGGCGGTTAAATTAGAATTGTATGAGATTTATTATGTGACACAGTTTCCTTCTTGTGTCGTTATCTCCAATTGTGAGGGTCGTGACCCCTATTTGGATACAGCTATACAGCTTTATATTAACTTTGTCACAGAGTTAATATTACATGGACACATAGATAAATCTGGGCCCACAAGCCCTCCTTAGGACGGTTTGTGAAGATAATAAACTATACATTTTTTTTCATTCAAATATCATTATCTATAACTAATCCATAATTCTAATGTTTCGAGCATTTGTTTGTTTTAGGTTTTCTATAGTACGGTTTCTACAGTAAGTTAAAAGTTAAAGAAAGTGAAAACTAAATAAATACGGTATTCATGATTGTATATATATTTTTTATAGTTGTGGTTGGTTTAGTAAAAAATATACGGAACTGTTTAGTAAAAATGAATTTAAAATGTCCCCAAGATTACGATTTAAATTAAAGATCCAGTCTTAGTGGTATTCCGTATTACATCGCAGAATTGACAATCATTATTCAAGGTCAACATTGGGTGTCAATACCCTTAGCACTAATAACCAAATCCATGGTTTTTGTTGACTTGTGTTTTTATATAAAAAGACAAGATTTTGATAAAGCAGCAACTATTTGTTTCTGACTTTCATACAGACACAGATCTCAGCAAAATGAAATTCTTGGTTAGATATTTTAATTATCCTGAGAAACTTATTAGACATATTCACTGCAGTAGAATAAACATTAATTCGAGTTAAATTATATCTGAAGAGTGTAAATGTCTAAAAATATTATTCTTGCAGGTACTTGCACTGTGCGTATGTGCTGCTAGCGCTGCCACCTTTAATCAGTATAGACCTTACAATGTACAAAATGCCGCAAAAGTTGGCGCTAGCCCATTCGTCGCATCTGCTAAGGCTGTAGGATATGGAAGCTCTCAATTCGCTTCTCCCTCAACTGCTCCCGTTGTGAACGCTCAGGTCAGCGTAGCTGCCGCTGTTCCCAGACCCGTTGCCAAGACTGCCAACAGTGACGCCGAAGCCGAAGTCATCAGCAATGAAACTCAATTCAACGAAGACGGCTCCTACAACCAACAGTACGTACAACAAAATATGTTAAAACAAAAGTATATGTTAAATTTAGAGCTAATAGAGTAGATGAAATACTTATAGAAATCTTTTAAGTTTTGTTGTAATTAAATGTTTCAAATGTATTTTTAATTTCAGATTTGAAACCAACAATGGTATTTCTGTCCAGTCTTCTGGTGTCCTAAAGAAGTTTGGTGACGCCAACGCTCTCGTGAGTATATTTCTTCGCATAACGAGTTCAATTATTATGATTACCTCATACAATTGTATTAAATTTAGATTACAAAAATCGAACAAATTTTTATTGTTTAACAAATTAAAAGGCAACTTTATTTAGAATTTTATTTTTTGTATGAAATTGGACTTTATTGAAATTTATTTTTGAATTTTTTTTAAACCTCCTTTCTAAGGAGTTGTTTATGTCCAGCAGTGGACTATTAAAGGCTGTTAATGATGATGATGATGATGAAATTGGAAACCCCGTAGGACAAATACTAAATAATTGGTCACAATAATTGCCTAAGTGGTAAAAGAATACCTCATAATTAAGTTTTGTGGATTCGATTTTTAACATCACATCGTGCTAAATCACTAAATATCATCATCATCAACACCCTTCATTTTTCCACTGCTGGTTATAGGCCTCTCCTTAGAAAGCAAGTTTTGGCCTACTATATCACGCTGGGCAGACGGGCTGGTATCGGGTTTGTTTTAAGTTTTCCTTCTCTTTTTGTCCTGTGTAGTTTGCTCCCTTAGTCAGCCCTTAAGACACTCACGGGATGAATCAGTATTCTTAATCCGTCACCTCACGGATAAATCACTAATATGTCAAATTAAGAACAAACCTTACTTGTTGCAATGTACATTCATTACTTCGACAAAATATCCTTAACCTTTTTTTTGTGCCTCAGGTTGTCACCGGTAGCTACAGATATTACACTAACGATGGTACTCCCGTAGAAGTTACCTACGTTGCTGATGAGAATGGATTCCAGGCCAAGGTAATTGATATATATATTTAAATTAAATGACGTATCAAGATTACTAGTTCCTTTAGTGGAAATAACTTTAGTTCTTTCCTTCTTCCTAGGGGAGTGGAAAGAATTAAGAAGAAAGTAAAAAGAACATTAGTTGTTTCCACAAGAGGAACTAAATTTTCTTCAATAGCGCTCGATAACAACACGTTCATCGTGCATCAGCCTACAAGACAATTGCTCGAGAAATTATGTAGAATATTAATGATAGATTTGACAAGTAAATCTATTTACTCTAATTTGGTAGAATTATAGTAAATAGAATAATATGAATTCGTTAACTTTAAGTTTTTTTAAACCAAGGGGGGGGGGGGCAAACGAACGGACCATCACTTGATATCTACAAAGAGAGTCACAAGTGCGTTGCCGCCTTTTGAGACCCTACCCCCCTAGAAGCATTGGGCGGGGAGGTTTGGGCTCTGGTAACCTCATTCACTAGGTAAAACGCAATGAAAGAATTGCTTACACTAGTTTTTTGCAGTCGGGGTATCACTCTAGCATGGCTCTCCCAGAGTAATATTAATTGCCTGATGACAATTAGTAGTCTTCAACTCCTTTTGAAGTTTTACTTTCTAATTAATAAAGAAATGAAGATACACTTCCCTAATTAAAAATATCTAGAGACCCAGGTAGACAGATAGATATTTGCCTCAACAATAACTAATAAACGTATTTACTTTTAGAGCGACTCTCTTCCTGTTGCGCCACCAGTACCCGAAGCCATCGCCCGTTCTATCGAATACCTTGCTAAATATGCCAAGCCCGAAAACCAACAATATTGATTTATACCAGACTATAAATTACCGATTACAATGAAAGGAAGCTGTGTTGAGAATGAGTCGCAGAAGTCGAAACTACTAGCAAAATAAAATTAAAGCTTTATAGACACAATTCTAAGTCAGTTCTTATAGTTAAATAAAATCATATTACTGTGTCATATGTTTTTGTTTCAATTTTAACCTTTTCAATAAAATATAAGGGTAAGTAGTACATAAATATGTAGGTTATTTGATGCGCTTTTGGTATGTGAAGGCCGTGTAAGAAAAAGTAACTGTAAAATCCTTTCTTACGGTTTATTTGACGGTAGATGTCAACTGTTAAATCGGTCGCGAGAATGGATGTTATAAAAAGAAGATATTCATGAAAATAAGTTATAACTAAAAATAAAAAAATAAACCTCACTATGTTGTTCAACAGTTAGTTGAAATAAAAATCAATTGCTGTAAAGTATATAATTTCTTGAAAGGTCCTAAATCTAGTCCAAAAAAAAAGTTTATCTAAATTTACATTTAAAGTTTAATAAAACCCTTAAATGTAGGTGAATAAAATTGAATTGTTTGCGTTAAGTGCTATTATTACAATTATACGTCTAAATATACAATACAAAGATATATACAAAAAACGTCATGCTCAATGTTTTGTGGTTGTGTAATAAAACATGTATCTTAATCTAGTTTAAATACTTATAACAAGATTATTGAATACTACTCTGTCAAGAAAGTACGATAAGAAAAGATCATTGTTATTCATCCAAATTTATTTTATTACCTTCAAAGTATGCTTCTTCAGAAACGATACACTTTTTTTTTACGTGTGGAAACCCCCTCGGGCCGTCACCCCACCGGGGTTTGCGGCGAGGTGGTGTGTCGGAATCGGACCGACTAAAACCACACGGTGTGCCACTCTGCGCCTGTAATAGGAGGGATCCGGGAACTGCTGTTATTAGGACATCCGGACCCCTCCTAGCGCCTGCCCGCAACGGCGCGGGCACCACCTTCGGGTACATTCTCCATTTAGGCGACGTCCGGCTCACGCGGAAATTGCCTCCTTGCGGCTGGCCTTTATGGCGGGTGGAGGGGAAAACCCGTCCCTTCCACCCGCGGAAACACTCAGGGCGGCTTGAGGCGGTGGTAGGCGTGCCTCCGCCGCCCGGTTCGACGGTGACGGATTGGGCCCGAGTGGAGGTTGTCCTCCCGGGACCCTCCGCCGCCTTCTTCTGCGAGATGACGTCTTCGCAGAAAGATGCAACCGCGGTGAAACATCTGTCACTACCGGCCAAGGAGCGTATGACGGCCGGCAGCGAGAAATCCCCCCCGATGACTGCAATGAGAACCTGGCGTTGCGGCGCCCAAGCCGGGCAAATTGCCAGCGTGTGCTGAGCCGAGTCAGAAACCATACACTTACGCCAACGAATAATCCAATCTTCAAAACATTTTTTAAACGCTGTTGCCGGAATTGAATTCAGTTCTCGAATTCTCCTTTATGTCTTCTACCGATTGAAAACAGGTGCCACGAAGTGGTAATTTGAGCCATATCTGGTAAATATGGTTGGTTGCTCGATGGTATTTGTTGCGTTTGGTCAAAAATTCGTTCACGTTGATGGCCTTGTACGAAGGCGCATTATCGTGGTACAAATTCCAAGTTTTTTTTCCCTAAATCTGGCCTTTTTCGTCGAATTTGCTCTCTTAATTGCCTCATAACGCTCAAATAATATTCTTTATTTACCGTTTGATCTTCCGGCAAGAATTTCGAGTGCACAACACCGCGATAGTCAAAGAAAACAGTCAACATGACTTTGACTTTTGATTGGCCGACATTGGCGTGGTTTTTTCGGTTTCGGTTCAGTTGGTAGGCACCAATCCGAAGCTTGTTGACTAGTTTGCATGCCAAACTCGTAAACTCACATCTCTTCACCAGTAACAATGCGTTTCATGAATGATGGGTCGGAATTGACTCGTTCTAGCATGTCCTCAGCGACTCTCATGCGATTGAGTTTTTGGAGAAAATTCAGGTCTTTTGATTAAATGATTAGTTAAAATGGTACAGGTGAGATACAGAAAGTTCGGCCTCTTTCCTCACAAAGTTGAATGAGGATTTTCAGTCACTATTTCCTTCACTTTTGCGATGTTAACTTCAGTTGCAGACGTTGATGGTCTACCAGAGCGAGGCAAATCTTACATCTCATCTCGACCGCTTTTGAACGCTTTGTACCACTCATAAGCACGTGTTTTTGATAAAATCAATTCACCGTAAGCCTTCTGTAACATTTTCAGTGACTCCGAACACGAAATTCCATTGGCGATGCAAAATTTAAGACAAACTCTTTGTCCGATGTTTATGTCCATTATGAAATTTGCAATACACACAAATATGATATAACTAAAAACAGCGCTGTATTTAATATAAATAGCAGATGCAACTCAAACTCCGGGAAAAAAAATATCTACTACTCATTGCTTATAACCTTTAATAAAATATTGTTTTGCCCGATGCAGGGACGTTAATTATTTAGGAGCGTTTCTGGTTCTTGATACGCATTGACATGAGCATAAATTACTTCACAATAACATTAAAGTAATCGATTCACAATCTGCTACTTATTGATTACTTTCGACAATCTAAGCTTATTCTTAGTTTCTACAGCATCTTGAAGTATTCTGATATGACAAACTAAGAACATGCTCCGTTTTTTTATTAAAAATTATAAAATAAAATAAAGACACAGTTGCTTGATTATTTTGATTTAAATATTCACCCCTTCCGAAATGTAAATCATCAACTTTTACACGTGTAGTAAAACTCAAACGCCATCAAATAAAAATAGCGTGAATATTTTGTGTGATGTCCAACAAGTTTTTTTTTAAATCGAATTCCAAATTTCACGTACCTCCATTAGCGATATTGCTGAGATAGGTAGTGTCAATATTTTAGACAATTATTACCTCTTACATGAAATTACATATTGATGTCTCAGAGACGAAATTAAAAATGTATTTGTAACTTTATTCGTTTAGTTTTAGGTATATCGTAAACCAGTGTAGCTTAAACTGCCATCCTAAATATTTTCTGTACCATGATGTACCCATTTTTTACAAAATTGTTTAATTTACAATACTGTTTAAAAATAAAGGACAATGGCAGGTCCCCATACATAATTTTATTTGAACTGAAATGTTAGCGTTTAAATATCAAAAAATCCTTAACACTTGAGAATTTATTCTTGACCATTCTCATATCAAAATTACTTGCGAAAGAAGTCTAGGAAAAAAGATATTGGATTTTGAATGTTTCGAGGTTAAGTACTAACATATTGTTAATGTTTTGTTTGAAACTAGATGGCGTTGTGTGTCAGATAGCCGAAAATATTATTTTCATTATTATTACAGTATATGAAATAAAAAAAATAAAAGCATGACATCTATTCGAGTTTAACACTAAATTAAACAAAAATAAAATAACAAACGTGGTGAGTCCGGAACTTGACAGGATCTAAACCACAGATTAAGAGATATGTACTAAACGACGACGTATCGACATTTTGAAAATATCGATGTATGTCTATTTATGTGCCGTTATCAATGACAATATATTTTTCTCATCACACTGTGTAGTGGAAAATAACGTAACTATATTCTATTTCTTTAGTGTGTTTAAAATCGTTTAAAGAGAGTCAAAAAATTTTAAATCATTTCTAATTATGTTGATTCAGTCACTCTACCGTACGAGTGAAGACGTGGGCAGAAGCAAATTCATAATCATAATAGTGAACCTTCGGTAAATATTTCAGCCAAAGCTATAAGAATCGATTATCGATAAATTGTTCCATAATATAACATTGCCACCACGCATCCCTAGTCAGTTATACGTGATGGCGAATCTGACATTACGTACTTAGGTCAAATAAAATCTTCAAAAATATCTTATCTCTTATAAGACTTATACAACACATGGTGGTGTAATGATAAATCATAGAATTTTTTTTGATTAAGTTTACTGTGACTCGATTTTTTAAACGCTTAAGTTTTAGGTAAATATGTTTCTGCCATTGTTCTTTCTGCATTTAAACTTTATGTTATGTATACTATGGGGATCTTGTGTCAACTAGGGTGAATTACCGTGCGTTTAGGCGATTCTGCCATACATATTATAGAAATCAAATATAGCTCACGTAGGTCCCGTAATATTTTGTGGCCGTGGTGCTTCCCTGTTTAAAAGGGTGTATGCCCATTTTACTTCATTTTGTCTCCCGCTTTGCTAAGGAGGGAAGTGGATTAACTGTATTTCGAACTCCTCAGATTTTCTTCTGATTAATTTCGTTGCGGGTTCCAAGACAGTTTAATTTCTTCCTGGGAATTCCCAAGTGTCTTAATTTGGTGTGTTCTTGGGTCACTGCTGTGGATCCTGGTGTACAGGAGTTACAGTGGATGGCGTGTGGGTGGGATTAGTCCCTATAAAATTCGTAAGCGGGGTTCACGCGTTTGTTTGCTTTCGATAAAGAAGAACTAAAATGTTGGCTTGAATTCACTTATCAATATAGGCAGATAACATTTTAAGAAGCTCAGCGACTGTTGCTTGTAAAAACTTGCATATTCCATATTCAGTACAACGTGTCGAGAGTTGCCAAGAAACGCCACTGCTGCTGCCGCCGTCTGCAACGCTTGTTCAGACGTGCAAAGGGACGATATACGACTTTCGGTATGTGTGCTTGCAATCTTGCATGAACGTGTTTGATTCTTCACCAATATAAATATGAATGTCAAGAATAAAAGTTACTCATTTGTTTCCCGAATTTCGAAAAAAAAGTAAAGTAGAGTGAATCGGTCTTAGTGTTTGCCAGTGTCGGAAAAAGTAAGTATTTATCTGCTTATTTGTTATAAAGAAAGAAAGAAAAACAATTTATTCGTAGACGCAAGAACATACACTCACAATATAAGGGAAACATAATACAAGGTTTAATCGAAAATTCATTTTTACGTGTAGGTACCTCACGTGCCAGTCGAAT